AGTCGTCGGAAGCTTTCCCCACGCTTCAGCAGCATAGCGGTCCTGAAATGCCGCAGATGGCTCCTGCCATCAACATCGAGTTTGCGCCAGCTGCTCGCCAGAACTCGTTCGAACCACCGAAGCCCCCCATGGACCAAGACTCCTTGACACCGCCAGAGCGAGGTAAGCGTTTATGAACTTGAAAGCATCTCAGACGCCAAACTGACCATACAACCATAGGACGACCGCGGTCGCGCCCTCGCGCCGTCACGGATCCGTTCAACAGCGGAGGAAATGTGATCGTGGGACGTCTTCACAGCAACTCAAACGCGGGCCTCTCCCCTCATATGACCTCGGGTCTTTCTCCTCGATCAGACGCGACGCGCTCGCTGTCACCTCTCGACCGCCAGGGCACGAGCCCTTCCAGGAGGCGTCAGTCGACATCTGCAGTGCCCAACAACGTGATTGCCCTGCGATTGGCAGACCCAGAGTACCAGAATGCGCAGGACAGTGGCAATGCGAAGAGGGTCCAAAAGCACCCAGCGACGTTCCAGTGCAACTTGTGTCCCAAGCGGTTTACTCGCGCGTACAATCTGAGATCGCATCTGCGGACTCACACGGACGAGAGGCCGTTCGTCTGCACCGTGTGTGGCAAGGCCTTTGCACGCCAGCATGATCGCAAACGTCACGAGGGCCTTCACTCGGGCGAGAAGAAGTTTGTTTGCAAGGGCGATCTCAAAGCCGGCGGTCAGTGGGGTTGCGGACGGCGGTTTGCTCGTGCCGACGCTCTCGGCAGGCATTTCAGGTCCGAAGCTGGTCGGATCTGCATCAAGCCGCTGCTCGACGAGGAGATGGTCGAGAGGAACCGCGTCTGGCAGGAGCAGCGCATGCAGAACATGGCGCACAACATGACGGCTCCCCAGATGGGCGGCTTGGAGGCTCCTCCTGGCTACCCCATGGACCCCAACGGCCAGTGGCTGCCGCAAGCCCTGCTGGTGCAATACCCTGCACTGGCGGGCATGAACTGGTCAGGCCAGGATGCCAACAGTGGCATGGAGGACGATATTTCGGGACGGTCTTCGTTTGATGCTAGCGACTACGAGGGCGAAGAAGGCGGATACGTCAGCGGCCCGGGTACGGGATTCGGTGACGGAGGTGTGAGCCAAAACTTTGGCGAGGTGGGCTATGCGAGCGACTATGGCGGTCGCTAGGTGTGCATTTTTTTTTTTGTGTTCTTTCCTTTTTCTTCGTATTCCGAGTCTTGTGTGCTGTGTTGCGTTGCGTCAAGTTTACGACTTGCTGATGTTTCATGGTCATTCTCATCATGGTCACGACGGCCTTATCGATTTCTCACGGGCCCCACCCGTTGACGCGGCTCCTTGCTCGCTTACAAGTTTACGACGACCTTTTTTTTTTCTTCATTGCGATTCCCTTACCGGACCTACGACTTGTCATTACCTACCATGAACCCGGCGTTGTGTTGTTTGACGGGGGGCTTTGAAACGGGCACTCGGGTGGGACAGAGGCACAACGCATTCGAGAGGACCGGCTTGGTGTCGGGCCCAGGCTCGGGCTTGGATTGGTGAATTCTGGACGATAGATCGCCTTGTTTCTACATAGATACCACGCTGAATGAACGTTACGTTGAACTCGTTGTTGTTTGAGGCGGTGTGACTTTGGTCGGGATTCTTGGTGACAAAGCAGGCGATCAGACTTCTTGCCAAGATGACTTCCACACGACCGCTAGCCTTCCGTCTCGATAATACCAAGCTTGCTTTCCAAGTGCTGTCGCAGAGTAGGTAAGCGAGGTGAATTTGCCGTGTCAGCAGTGGCTGACGGCCACCGATACGCGTGTTGCTTTGGACTTAGTAAGGGCAGTCGCAAACCTTGCGTCCAAGCTCTCGGGTTGAACGTCATGGCCCGTCATGCATGCGGGGCCATGCTGGCCCCACGCATACTACTTCGTTACCACACACTACCTCAGTACGTTCTACGCCTCTGTCAACGCCCAACCTTGAAGCCACGAAGCTTGGCAGTCATCGGCAGGTCTTCTCACAGTTTTGAGGCTTGAGAACAACTCATGCTGCTTGGAACGATGGTACACTGAGAGGAAGAGACCGAGCAATCAGCATCTCGCCCAAGGAGGAGGATTGTCGGGAAACCCGATGATCGGCAAAAGCTTCGATGCATTGCCGATAGGCCCCTGGCTCAACCGACCACACGGGGGCGGCGTGCAGTCAGTGACATCTTCTCCCTTCTGGGCCAAGGGACAATTCGAGTCAATGATGCGATCCAGCCGCCGGTGCCACCCCACGGGGCCACTTCGACTGGCTTCGGCGCCCACCTGGACGGCGCATCACAGGCGGGGATGCGTCCGTTTTCTGCTGACAGTGGATGTCTGATTTGAAATCAGGTAGTCCGCGGCAACGTTATGGGCATGTCCTCGTACAAAAACGGCAACGGCTGCTCCCTTGTATTCTCTCGAAGCCGACTCTCAAGCTACCAACTTTCCATTCTTCCAGCATTGAGCATTGAGCATTGAGCAGAAACACCACCACATCGCCCACCATGCCCGCCAACCAAGCCGTCAAGACCATCACCGCAGGCAACGCCCAGGTTGTTGACGTCGACATCCCCAAGCTGCCCGCCGATGACTACATCCTCGTCAAGACGACGGCGGTGGCCATCAACCCCACCGACTGGAAGCACGTTGACCTCGCCGACAAGATGCCCTGCGAGAACAGCTGGGTCGGCTGCGACTACGCCGGCGTCGTCGAGGAGGTCGGCTCCGGCGTGACCAAGGCGTTCAAGAAGGGCGACCGCATCTGCGGACCCGTTAATGGCTCCAATGGCCTGCGCGAGACGGACGGCAGCTTTGCGCGCTACATTGCCGTCAAGGGCGACTTGCAGATCAAGACACCCGACAACATTAGCGATGAGGAGGCCGCCACGCTCGGCATTGCCGTATCCACCATTGTAAGCCCCCCTCCCCTTCTTTCCTTTGATCTATATTTGGGAGTTCTCTCCCCGCGTGTGCACTAGTGAACAGGCGACTGACAAGATACACAGGGCCAAGGACTCTACCAAACCCTCAAACTGCCCCTCCCATCCTCCCCCGCCGAAAAGCCGTTCCCCGTCCTCATCTATGGGGGCAGCACAGCCATGGGCATCTCGGGCATCCAGTACGCCAAGCTCTCGGGCCTCACCGTCGTGACGACCGCCTCGCCCCACAACTTTGACTACGTCAAGTCCCTCGGCGCCGACGCCGTCTTCGACTACAAGTCGCCCACCCTCGTCGACGACATTCGCGCCTACACAAACGGCCAGCTCAGGCACGCCTGGGACTGCCAGTCCACCAACGAGTCGGCCCTCCTCGCCGCCCGCTGCCTCGCAGACGAAGGCGGCCACATTGCCACGCTGCTGCCCGTGTCGCGCACCAAGGTCGCCGAGGTCAACGACAAGATCAAAGTCGAGCTCAGCATGTACTACACCATCTTTGGCGAGGAGTACACCTACTTTGGCACGCAGCCGGCCGTCAAGGAAAACTACGAGTTTGGCAAGACCTTTTGGGAGCTCAGTCGCCGTCTGCTGGCCGAGGGCAAGGTGAAGCCGATCCGCGTCATCCCGAACCGCGGTGGCGAGGGGCTCGAGGGCGTGCTGGTTGGCTTGAAGGAGATGAAGGAGGGCAAGGTGAGCGCTGGAAAACTTGTCTACACGATTTGACTGCATGACAGGGACGAGGCGAAGCTGTGAGAGGATTGAGAAGAAGAAAACGGAAATGCGTAGCATAGATACCACGCCAGACCCAAAATCTGGCGACAAATGAACACAAACTTAGCAACAGAGATATATATCGAGAGCCGTGTTCGTCGCTGTTCTACGCGCTGACTCTCTTCACTGCAGCAGTGATGGTCAAATGTCCGGACTTTCCGTCACGTGCGCACTGCCCCGCCCCTCGTCA